AGAGCAGAGGGAGAGCAGGTGGTTGTGCTTCTGTTTCTAAGCTGATGTTTTATGACCCTCCTTAAGAGTGCATCACTTGTCTTGTCAGATGTGGGAGAAGGCCATTGAGCTGGGCAAGCAGCTGGCCAAGATGCACGAGAGCCACATGTTTGACTTCATGGAGCTGAGCGAGCTGTTGGTAAGAGCTCCAACATCAGTACCAAGTCTGCAAGGAAGATAAAGGCTAAAAGGCCCTTTTAAAACATGAAAATAGAGAAATAATGACGTTCTTAGGACTGAAAGCTTTTCTTCTCCTGAGCTGTGATGTGAATGTTTCTTCATTTTCTAAACCACCGACATATGTGCAACACAGCCTCATTACATGACGCTGCCACATCTAACCGCCTTACTTTTTCCTGTTGTAGAAAAAACAGGCCAAGTTTTATGAGCAGATATTGCACGCAATGCGGCCGCAGCCGGAGTACTTTGCTGTTGGATATTACGGCCTTGGATTCCCTTCTTTCCTCAGGGTAAGAAAATGATTACCTGTTTCAATAAATGGAGACTTGGAGACAGCCTCATATCGCCGCGCTTATGCAACGAGCTGACATTTTGAAATATTTCTCGGGGCAATGTGCAATAATTCCAATAAAGGTTATTGGCTTTTTGATGCCACAAGAGAATGTCAGAAAGAATGCAGCCATGTTGAAGCTTTAATCATCCACCCCACCCCTATTAAGCATGTAAATTAACCTCAATGACAATTCTTTGTTTTGAGAGGCTTTGATTTGATGTTCTACACAATGTTTCTTTCTATTTATCCTGCAGAACAAAATGTTCATCTACAGAGGAAAAGAGTACGAGTGGCTGGAAGATTTCAGCTTAAAGCTGCTCTCTCAGTTCCCAAACGCAGTCCGGATGACCAGCACGGCGCCCCCTGGAGACGACATCTCTAACTCACCTGGGCAGCGTATCCTTTTAAAACATTTCTTAATCCCAAAAAACAAAATGATCCAAAGTGTTGCTTGGAGTACAAACATAAAAAAAGTCATAAAAACATCATTAGAAATCAAAGCATCTGGTTCTGTCTATTTCTAAGTGATGCTTTAATGTATTCAAACACATAAATATGCCTCATTATTATAATTTGTATTGGTTAGTTAGAGATCGACCGAAAAATCAGCCTGAAGATAGTTTTGCCCAAGATTAAAGTTTCTTGTCTTTAGTGTTGTCCGATACCGATACTAAGTAAAATATTCGATACTCGATACCCTTTTCGATACCAGACACTGGAAAAAGTTTAAATCTAGATAAGTTTTCTTAAAATAAGTGCATTTGTTCTTGAATTGAGAAGGTAAAAGAGACATTTTGCCAATGGAACATGACAATTAGCATTTAAAATAAGAAAACACAGTTGTATTGCTTTATTTCAAGTGCATTTTATCTAAATATCTTATTTTAAGAGTAAAAATACTCATTCCATTGGCAAACTATCTAATTTACCTACTCAAGTTAAGGGTAAATACACTTAATTTAAGAAATTTTTAAGTATTTCTAGATGGTTTTTCTAGTGCAAGAATAAAAACAAAGACTCTAAAATTCAACAGAAATATTTTCATTACTAAAAAAATACAAGAAATAAATAAAAAAAAACAATAAGAATAATATTTTGGGGTTGTATGCTGAGCACAATATTAAGCAAGCTTGATAAAAAAAACTTATAAAATTAAAATTAAGTGTTCCTTCCTTGGATATGTTTTGCAGACATAACAATGACACTAGCCAAACCAGTTAAACAAAAATAATTCTCAGCAGCTGCACCTGTTAAAAAAATGCACAGAATTATTCAATCACACAGTGTTCAGAAAGTGCATTTTCCACTATTCTGCACTTTAGATGGCTTTATCGATACTTTTGAAAATGAGTATTGTATCCGGATACAACGTTTCAGTATCGATACTTTTGACAACCCTACTTGTCTTGTATCGTCTTGTCTTGTAACATGTACTCTGCACTTTTTCCAAAAAACAACGTTATGCTACAATACACAGACAATCATCAAGCACTAGGACCAAGCGGAAAACAGCAGCTCAGGCTGAAGCCCGCTTCCCTGAGTATATAGACCACCCACAGGCTCCTGATTGGCCCTCCATATTTTTTTTTTGTGTGTAATTGGCTGTCCCTGCCATTACTGCTGAGAAGCTCGCTTTAAAAACATCTGATGCGCCTCTGAGTCGGGTCTGTGAAAAGTCTTATAGAAAAAACGTGGGTCAGCAAGAGATGACAGATTGTGAGGGAGTCTTCTACTGTAAATTAGCCATTTTTTCTTCTCTCAGGTCACGTCATTTACAAGGGTTGTAATATCAAAAGTATTAATTTACACAAATCTTTGAATCATGTGCGTGCATGTGACTCGCAGCCAGCATGTCTGAAAACTGTGTAACAGCCCTCCTAAAACACCTTCACTGGCTCCATAAAGCAGCAACAAGAACAGCAGAAAAGTCAACCGCAATAAATCAGATATTGAGATGAAATAAACTACTTTACTTTTCGGACTATAAGCCGCACCTGAATATAAGCCGCAGAAGCTAAATTGCATGATTTATACATATACAAGCCGCAGGTTCTTTATGTTTAATGTCCGTCTTTCTCGCTGTCGTTCTGTCTCATACCACTCGCGGTAGAAGTCTGCTTCCGGAGGACCTCCGCATTCCCGCGCGCGGCTACCGTATTTGTGTGTTTGAAGCAAATGTGATGTCAATATGGTGGATGGTAAAATCCATAGATTTAGGTATTACCCTAGTGGCCGTTAGCTGTAAAAGTCCAAAGATAAGCTGCATTTTTATATAAGCCGCAAGGTCGAAAAATGGGGAAAAAAGTCGCGGCTTATAGTCCGAAAATTTACGGTACAATCTACTTTAAATCACTATAAGTGGCACCTTTAAAGTGCAGTTATATTAAGTTTAGCTGTTTATTCTAGATTTCAACATGGCTATCGACAAATGAATTTAAAAGACCCTCTAATTTATAATTTGTCACCCCTAGCGGGCGTGCCCCCTGTTTGGGAACTAACACACTGAATAGGCTAACATATGCATTTATCAGATACAAGAAAAAACAAATGCTAATATGGGTAAAAGTGTCATCAGGCTGATTTATTGTTCTTTCTCTAAACTAAGCAATAAAAATTATAACGAAGAGTTATATTATTTATGTGTTTAAAGGTCATTTAGAAATGGACAGAACCAGATGTACTGGATGCTAATGCTGTTTTTACTACCCAATGTTTACAGATTTATCTATTTCTTTTTTGTCCTGTTCAGCATTATGGCAGCAGAACTGAAATCTGAATACTGTTTTACTGAACAGATGTGTTTTGGTGAGGGAGGCTTTGTTGGTGAGAAGCCCCCCTTGATTACCCAAAACTACTTTATCTACCGTATTTTCACGACCATAAGGCGCACCGTACTAAAAGGCGCAGTCTCAGTTATGTGTGCCATTTCTGTATTTAACACACACATAAGGCGCACTGGATTATAGAGCGCAGGTTTTATATACAGGTACATGTCCTCTACTACGTTTAAATACCTCTACTGCGTATGATTGTGCTTTTTTCATGTATTTATTACAAAGTATTAATCAAAGCTGGGAGCTGGCCGTGAGACAGACACATCGCTTTGATGACACAGAGCGCTGTGATCGCTCCTCTGAAACAGTTTATTGATGCATAAATTAACTTAAAATGCAGAAATCTGCCGGCAGAATATGTTCACTTTTATTATCCTGGTGCCTGCAGTTTAGATTATATAGATGAAAAACACTTACCAGAGGCTGCTGTTGAATGAGATTCCTACTGACAGCGCACCGCTGGTATGTGGGGGTCTGAGCGGCTCTGACAGAACTAATATTGAAAGGCAGGATGGTAATCTGGATGAACTGACTGCACTGATTAAGTTTTCAGTCGGATTTACTCACTTAAAAACATATTAAAACTACTTTATTCCCGCTGATCACAGCAAATATAGCTGCAAGGCAAAGAAAGGATAGAGTAGCTCCGCCCAACGCGCGTCAGACCCACTTTTGCACCTCGCAGCCAGAGCAGCAAAGCTGCTTCAGCCGCATGTCAGAACTAAACTGGTACAAGCAGCAAAAAGGAAGCAGCAGACGAGATCTTGCTGCGTCCGGTGTGAACGCAGCGTTACTTTGAACGGCCGGTTCACACCGATGTCGAGCAGAACAACAGCAAGCGCAGCGTACATTTTTTTCACCACGTTTTTCACATCGGCTGTGAGATGAGCACGCATGGAGTCACAGATTAACAGCGATGGTGATGCGTGGAAAAAAACACCTGGTCTTCTTACATACACCTCCCTCAGCCACTCTTTCATCATCTCCTCAATGAGGAGATAAGGAGTTCTGCATAAAGCACATACCTGTTCTTTTATACACAATCCACGCCCACACTTCCCCCTTTAACGTTCTCATGGTGGTCTCAACTAGAGACAGACACAGGAGTGGATTTTCACTCCTGTTCCGTCCCACTCCCACCGAAAAAAATTGTGTCCCGTCCCGATCCCGGGCCAGAGTAGAAATCTAAATCGTGTCCCGTCCCACTCCTGGTGAAATTACTCCCACTCCCATCCCGCTCCCGTTCAGAATGACTCCCGCTCCTGCACCACTCCCATTCTTGTTTTTGAGCACGGGTGAAAAACTCAGAGCGGAAGCACTGTTGGTTTTTGGGTCGTGTAGTTTTTTTGACTTGCATTATAGTGTAGGCTTCAAGGAAAAAAAACTACAAAATGGCGGCGCCAGTACTGGATTTTTTTCTTTCTATTTTATTTTATTTTTTGGCATCGATCCTAGTGACCCGTGGGATTCCCGAAAAAATGTCAGTCTCTAGTCTCAACAACGTCCGCAGTAACAACAAACATAGGGCGCGCCGCACATTTTGAGGGAAAAAAAAGACGCTTATATGCGCCTTATAGTCGTGAAAATACGGTATTTGGTTTTTTTATACCAAATTTACATGTGACCGATAATGCTGAACCTGATAGAAACAGAGGAAAGAAAATCAGTGGAAAGAAAAGAGATCCTTTGGATACAAACAGAAAGAGGAAAAAAAAGAAGACAGCAAAACCATACAAACAGCTACTATGTCTAAAACACAAAAGAACAAACAGTTATGAGTTATGCAGCAGCTGTACTGAAGCTTATGTCCGAGTAACAGTAAAGGTAACAGATTTAAAAAGAGTTTTTATTCTAATCAACCATGCTGAGGAGACTTTCCTTTGGATAATTTTGACCCTTAAGGTCTCGTTAAAGTCTAAAGCTAAATTCAAGTAATAATTTACCGTAAAACGCAAATTGCTCTAATGTAGTGGAACCAATTCTTTATAGAAAAATAAGCAAAAAACAAAAAAAGTCCAGTTTCTCTATAAACAAAGCTGTTAGAGGACTACTCTTAAAGAAAAATAACCTTATAAATACATCAAAGCTTTTTTTTAACCTAAAAAAAATGTAATATTTCAGCGGTGACGGATATTTGCTTATTATACTCAGAATAAACCGTCGCATCGAGGTACAATATATGCCTGTTGGGTTTCTCTTGTATTCAGCTTCAAGTACCACTCTATATAATTGCAGCCTCACAAACTCAAATGAAACAGGGGGGAAATAAAAGAAAGAATGATTCAGAGCAATTTGTCTTGTCTCCTTTCTGCAGCGGTTTCTGCTTTTTATCCTTAGCTGAACTGGACAGACATCCAGTGCTTCACCGTGAAGCCTGTTCTCACGCTGCCGCAGAAGTTTAAAGACAAGGGGGTTCCAGAGCAGATATTAAAGTCTGTGACAAAACATTTAAAGGCTGATTTAGCTTCTGTGGGATATCTAGGGTGGGCGCTAACTCCGCTGTCCTTCCTCGTTCCCCTGCAGCTATTATAGATACAATGAAGTCGACCAGTTCCAGTACTCCAGGCCCTTTAGGAAAGGTGAAAAGGATCCGGACAATGAGTTTGCTGTGAGCACCTTTCTATTTCTACGCTATAAATTGATTCAAAAGCACAAGCATGTAGCAGAGAAGTCTGTGTTATGCCTATGCACGTATTATGCCCTGGAGATTAATAAAGATCTGAGAAGTTCACTCCAGAGTATGATATTAATATTCTGCTCCACAGACCATGTGGATTGAGAGAACCACTTACATCACCGCCTACCGTTTCCCTGGAATCCTCAAATGGTTTGAAGTCAAATCCGTCTCAGTGGTGAGAAGCAGCCGCTCACTCCTAAACCTTGCACGTTTTCCAGTCGTGTCATTAGATCTTGTGTAATTAATGAAGTATTCGCCGTCCCTGCGTGTCAGGTGGAGATCAGCCCGCTGATGAACGCCATAGAGACGATGGAGATGGCCAATGAGAAGCTGAGCAACCTGGTGCAGCAGCAGGCCTGCGATCGCTCGCTGTCCATCAACCCGCTGTCCATGATGCTCAGCGGCATCGTCGACCCTGCCGTGATGGGCGGCTTCTCCAACTACGAGAAGGTCTGGATTGGTGATTTAATATGACACTTTTGCTGCAGAGAGCACTTTTTCTGCCTCCAGTGACTGGATTCTTGAATATTTCATGTCTTCTATGCACATATAATTTCTATTATTCAATATGAGAGGAACAAACATCAGTAACTTCTCCCCACCCTTGACTACAGGGGTCAAAGGTCGCCGGAGCTTTATTCTTTCTTTCTTTTTTTCGTTTAGATTTAAGTAGTCACAAGGTAAGGATGACATGATCTCACGCTAATGTCTGCTTGGGTAGAATCATAATGTGGTGACATTTAGTGATCAAAAGGTCAGACTGAGTGGCACTGGGGGGGGACTGGAGAGGCGCGCAGTCGCAAGGTGGTGATTTTAATCCGAGCTGCATCTGATTAAATGCATAATTTAACTGAGTCAGTTTAAACTGAAAATATTTAAACAGATTTTAATTTTTTTTTACAAAGAAATCATCCATTAGAATGAGTGATAGCTCAGTTAACTTTAGCTGACTTCTCCGTTATAATAATTTCCTTTCTGCATCATTAATGAACTTTAGGAAAAAATAACTTATGATGATCCAAGATGTTTTATAAAGACATCAGATGGCTTAATGTTCTTTTTATTCATTAAAATGTAAAAATTTTTCTAACTTATTAGTTCATACCAGGTTAAAGGTATTTGAAACGATACATTTTCTTGAATTTTTTTAAAAGACCCGCCCTCTCCACTTAAAATAAAATGTGCGTGCGAGGGCGTGCATGAGCCCATTTCTCCTCGTGCACGCTCTGTTTAATAGTTATGGTTCTCATTGCTCATACAAGCTTACTCTGTCCGATCGTCTGCCGTAACCCCTATATTTGTCAATCACTATATAGAGCGGGGAATATATAGTGAACTTTATAGTGAACTCGGTTAACTTACTGCCCAGACAGATGATCATTTCCCCGTTGGTCCACCGTGCGATGCCTGTGCCATCTTTGTCATTTGTCTCTGCTGTCGGGTAGCAACAGCAGGCTGCTGTGACAGTAAATCCCATAATGCTTTGCGAGGAGAGCTCTCTCCGCAAAGCATTCTGGGATATATCTGCCTCATCTGAGACCTTTCTTTTCTTCTCATACACTTTGCAGATACTGTTTTTCTTATGACCCTCGGCCATCTTTTTTAAAGAACCGCAGTGAGAAAGGTGAACTTCAATGACTGTCTGAAACTGTAGCTCAGCACAGATATACGCCTGAAAGTGCGCATGAGCAGAAAATGATAGCTAACGGGACGAGTACGTCGGACGGCCTTACGTGAGCATATCACCAGAATGATTGACAAATAGGAGGACCAATTATTTAGATGATCCACCAGGAAATAAAAAATCACCCTCTACACCTTCAAAGGTGCAAAGTCAAGTTATTTGACATTTTTAAATTCATATGCCAGTAGCTTCCCTCTGGTTGCGTACAAAGTTTCCCTAAAAGATCACTTCATCCTAAAGGCAAGGCAAGGCAAGGCAAATTTATTAGTATAGCACAATTCAGTACAAAGAAAATGCAAAGTGCTTTACATGATTAAAATACAGGAAGATAAAACTGAATCGAAGCAAGTAGGAAAAAATATTAAAAATAAATAAAATTTAAAATGCAGTAACAAAAAAGTTGAACTAATGATGTTTTAGTTGAACTGTTTAACTAGAACATTGGAAGGCAATCCTAAACAAATGTGTTTTTAGTCTTGATTTAAAGGAACTCAGGCTTTCCGCACTTTTACAGTTTTCTGGAAGTTTGTTCCAGATAAGTGGAGCATAGGAACTAAATGCTGCTTCTCCATGTTTAGTTCTGGTTCTAGGTATGCAGAGCAGGCTGGAGCCAGAAGACCTGAGTGGTCTGGAGGGTTGATACACTGATAGCAAGTCTGTGATGTATTTAGGTGCTAAGCCATTCAGAGATTTATAGACTAACAGAAGTATTTTAAAGTCTATTCTCTGAGATACATGGAGCCAGTGTAAAGACTTTAGAACTGGGGTGATGTGCTCTATTTTCTTAGTCTTGGTGAGGACACGGGCAGCAGCGTTCTGGATCAGCTGCAGCTGTCTGATCCACTTTTTAGGCAGACCTGTGAAAACACCGTTGCAGTAATCAATTAAAATAAAAATAAACGCATGGATTAGTTTTTCCAGATCATGCTGAGACATTAGTCTTTTAATCCTGGAAATGTTCTTCAGGGGATAGGGCATATTATTTTTATTTTTGTTTTTTAATTTTTGTCTATTCTCAATTTGTTATCAAATAAAGCCCTTAGTATGTATTTATAATAACAATGGAGGTAGGCTACTGCCACCTTTGTAACTCAATTCAGTCCTGGAACTGGAGAGTTTTCATAAGCACACTCATCATGATTCAATTAGAAAAACACAAAAACCAACATAAACAACAGAAGACTCCAACAATGGATTGGTATTTGAACCGCATCTGTCTTGGAATGTGCGTAGTAGGATGGATCTCCATACTACTTAGAAACATCAGCTCTCCTACCACAGATTGCACTGGTGCGAGCTAACAGAGTCTTGGATAGGTGTTGAAAGTTCTTCACCAAAAACTGAGTCAGGTTGCTTTTTTTTGGGGTTGCCATTTACTCAGGTTTACTTAAGACTGTGAAGTGTCCTAATCAAAGTACGATTAAAAAGCTGTGTCATGATCTTAAAAAGACAGTTCATGCTGGAACCCTTCAAAGCTCTGGAAAAGATTAATTTATCACAAGTGTTTGATAGCCGTTGTCGCTGGGTGACACTAGGTTTAGGGAGTGCTCACTTTTTCATACAGGGAGTACACTTAATAAACCGAATTTTCTGCTTGCTCGCACTCTCCTTGTTTGATATTTAAATTAGTTAGTTCTAAAACACTTTCAAGCAAAAATAAAAAGCAGTTTGGTGGGTACAGGGAGCAATCTCTAGTTTATGTTCTTCTCTGCTGAATCTTCCTTTTTTTTTTTTTCTTCATTCCTGGTTAAACCCAAACAGTTTCCTTAAAATTCTTTCATAAGTTTATACATAAGGCTCGGTGTGTGTCTGCAGCCTCTGGTGTTTGTCCTGTTCTCCCCTTCATTCTCTCCGGTCTCTTGTTTAATTAGCAGATTGATACTTTGATCTGCTCAACTTTAGTTCAACTTTCTTCTGTTTTTGTCGTCAGTATTACACTTCTGGACCTCTTTGAGTCTGATGCTGAAGCTGTCAATAGTCACTGCTGCCACCCTCTGGTTTAGGGGGGGAACTGCTTGTTCTGCCAAATGTTGTTAAAGTCGTAGGGAAGCGGCTCTTCCAACCATCGCATTTCTGAATTCTCCCCAGTGGTGCACGACTTTAAACGAGTGAATAAAGTGAATGTTATTGGTCGTTTATCAACGGGGCAGGTTTCTTGTGGCGGGAGGTTTGCAAGCTAGTTTGGTTGTGGCCAGTTTGTCGGAAGCATCTTGCTAACCAGTTAGCAACTTAGTGCTAGTAGGTTCCCAATGGGAAATTCCTTTGGGACCAAGTAGCACTAAATTGGTGACTTAGAAACGACACTGTCAAGAAACGAGAAAATGAGAAGGGGTGTGGCCTAATGACATCAACAGCCTATATAAGGTGTGCTTAATTATTAGGTAAATTTATCTGAAATTATCTGAAAGACATCTGACAATTTTTGACTTTTCAGAGTCTGTCAAATCTCTTTTCTGACCCATTTCCGCAAAGGAAAGGAAGTTGCCTAATAATTAAGCACACCTTATATAGGGTGTTGATGTCATTAGGCCACACCCCTTCTCATTACAGAGATGCACACCACCGGATTTACTTAATTGCTAGTTGGCTTTCAAGCCTACACAGCTTGGAGTAAGGCAACATGTATGAAAAGGATGATGCGGTTGAAATACTCATTTGACTAATAATTCGGCACACAGTTTATTTATGATCTTAATTTGTTAAATCCTTTTAATTGTTTATAAGGAATATTTTTCTGTTAAATTTTGCTGTGAGAAAAGTGAAATCCTCAGCATTCTGACAGGATTATAAATGCAGCTACTAAGGTGAGACAATTTTCCTGAATGTATCTCATAGGTAACCCTGTGTGTCCCTGCAGCTACAGTAACAATGTCTTCTCTAACTCCCCCTGCTCCATGCTCTCCTCTATCCCTTATGATAAATGTTTTTTTCTGTTCACAGCCATATCCAATGAGCACTCTATGCCTGAACCTTTTACCCCGGTGAACACCTTCTCCCTCTCACTCTGCCAGGGCACACAAAGTGCATCCACACACTGCTTCCACTCTGGTTCCAAATAAGTGAAGCAGAAGGTTTTCTGTATGAAGAAAGACAGGAAAAAAAATTAAAATCTATTTTTTTATTAAACTGCAGGTGAAACATACTGTGGCCCATGGGTGCAAACGGGCTGCAAATACATAATCGAGTTGGAAATACAGCAAAGTACAGAAAGCATAAAAATTTATAAACAAACGTGCAAAAGAAAAAATGCTGCAAAAGAGGACTACTGCAATAACAGAATATAGAGGGAAGTAAACTGCAAAACCACTGCAAACACATAAAGGACCTGTCATTTAAATCCCATATTAAAGAGGTTTCTATAATTTCCTTCTTTAATCTGCGCAATATTGCAAAAATTAGAAATATCCTGTCCAGGGGTGATGCTGAGAATTCTTTTCCATCAGGAAGTCCTCAAACTGTAGTTAAAAGCCTTCAGCTGATCCAAAATGCTGCAGCCAGAGTTCTGATGAAAATTAAAAACAGATCATATCTCTCCTATCCTGGCTTCTCTTCATTGGCTTCCTTTTAAATCCAGAATAGAATTTAAAATCCTCCTTCTCACATATAAAGCCTTAAATGGCCAAGCTCCATCTTATATCAGAGATCTGATTGTTCCTTATGTTCCTAACAGAGCACTTCGCTCTCAATCTGCAGCTTTACTAGTGGTTCCTAGAATTTCTAAAAGTAGAATGGGAGGCAGATCTTTTAGTTATCAGGCTCCTCTCCT